TCTTCAACCTTCGAAACTCATGGAAGTGCCTTTCTTCGGCAGGCTTTAAACTCAGAGCTACATGAGGAGGGTTCTGGGATATGCATTCAGGCTTCCTTTCTGTGCTGCAGATGAGACTCCAGAAGGGGGTGAGGGTGATGGTCAGCTGACAACAGGTACTCCAGGACAAAGGCAGTTCTTGGATTTGTTTGCACAGGACAATCAATGATTGGACAGTCAAGACTATTTTTTTTTTAAGTTTTCCTGCCCTCCTGAACCATATTTTTTATTGTTATGAGCCATACCCAACTTTCAGCAATTTGTTTCTTCTAGAATACAGATCTGACTATGGCCCTCTGCTATTATGAACTGAAAGGTGATCTCTCTGTCATAAATGAACTTTTTCATTAAAAAAAAAACACCCCAGATTAATAAGTTTTCCTTATTGTTTTTTACATCTTCTGAGAGGATAAACGGTTATAAAAAATTTACGAAGTTTCCTTCTTTGTGGAGCACAATAATTTTGCATATGCACAGACAGAATTAGACTCTTAGGAATGGGAAGGTTCTTAAAAGTCACGCAGTTGGATTTCCTAACCAGTGTCTGAGTCTTTACAACAGGAATGGCAAATAACCTCACGTGTTCCTTACTTTTTGCTCTTGTTGCCAATGGCAGGCATCGTTAATCTGTATCTCAGCACTCTCCCTGCGAACCTGAACTCGGCCTTGGAATCCTTCTCCATTCACTGCTCTAGTGAGCTAGTACTGATAGATAAGAGCTGCACCCAAGATGGAACCTATCTGCATCCCTGCCAAGTGACCATTGGCCTGTTCCCTAACATCTCTAGCCAGTGAGAATGAATGCATCACTTCCCAAAAGTTGCCTATTCCATCTCTAAATAGTTCCTTCTGTTATTAGAAAGTTCTTCCTTACATGGGACCGAAACGCAAGTCCCTGTAGGTAGCTTCTCCCCATTGGTCCTAATCCTCAGACCACAAAGAACATGTCCAAATACGCTTTTATAAACAATCCTTCTAGTACTTGAAGACAAGCCTCTTCTGCTTGAATCTTGTCTTCTTAAGGCTTAATAACAAGAGCGGGCGTTCCTCTAATCACTCCCTGCGTTCCTTCACAATTTTGGTGATTCTCTGAAAATTTTCTAGATCGTCTTACGGTGCGTGATCTGGAGGTTCACTCTGAATTGTTTAGCACAGACAGCCTCTCTCCTAGTAACACAGAGACCCGCAGCCCTGGTGAGCCACACAGCATTCAGCACAGCGAGACAGGCTTCTCACCACGAAGGACTCAGACAACCAACATCTGAAAGCGGTCCTTGAGACCACACAGGCCAAGTCCACGTCCACTTCCATAAACAACTCTACCAATACTGCAGACCAGTTCTCTAACCAGTCTGTCGGAAGGTATGTTCTGGCCACCAGGCCCCGGAGCTTTTGTCATCAATGAAGACCGCTGTGGTCTTTTCAGAGGCCTCGGTGCTTTCCTCTACCCACCAGACAATTTCTTGAGTGAATTCTAAGGGTACTTCCACCTTACCACCATGGTCCAAGTAAAGTGATGCTCTTCTTTTTTTTAGGTTTTTTTAATTGGGGAATTGGGGAAGGGGAACAGTGTTGGAGAATTGGGGAGGGGAACAGCCAAGTTGTCCTTCAATCTTAGTTGTGGAGGGTGCAGCTAGCTCAGCTCCAAGTCCAGTTGCCATCTGGCCACCCGTCAGCAGCTCATGGCCGCTCAGCTCAAGGTGCCGAGTTCAATCTTAGTTGCAGGTGGGAATAGCCCACCATCCCATGCAGGGGTCGAACCGGCAACCTTGTTGTTAGGAGCATGTGCTCTCACCAGCTGAGCCATCCTGCCACCTGTTGGCAGCTCAGCTCGGGCACAGTTCACTGGCCCATGTGGGAATCAAACCAGCAACCCTCTTGCTCAGAGCTCGGCTCTTAACCAACTGAGCCACTCAGCCAGCCCCAAAGCAATACTCTTCTAACTGGTCTCTCTGCTTTCACTGTCTCCCCAGTTAGTCTAGTCTCTCAACACAGCAGCCAGACGATCCTATTAAAATAGACCACATCACTACATGTCTCAAAATCTTGCAGTGGTTCCCCATATCACTGCACCCTTCGCCCCCAATCATCTTTGTTCACCTCTCCTCCTTGTTCACAAAGCTCTAGCCACTTTGGTCTCATTATTTCTTTTTTGTTTTTGTTTGGTTTTGGTTTTTTTTAAGCTGAGCCATCCTGCCACCTGTTGGCAGCTCAGCGGCTGCTCAGCTCGGGCCGGGAATCGAACCGCTGTTGCTCAGAGGTCAAACTCTTGAGCGAGCTCTTAACCGACTGAGCCACTCGGCCGGCCCTTCCTTGTTATTTCTTCAACATGCCTGGCATCTTCCTGGCTTTGGACCTTTTCAGTCGCTGTTCTTGTTGCTCGGAATTGTCCTCTGAATCACTATGCTTAACTTCTTTTCATCTTTGCTAAATGTTGCACAGACTATCCTTTGTAATTTTACAACTTTCTCCCACCACACACCCTCACTGATACTCCCAAACCCCTCGACATACTCTTATATTTTCCAGAGCACTTCCTGCTTTTTAGTAGATCACTGTTATTTATATTACGCTCATCATTCACCGTCAGTCTCCTCCTGCGAGACTGTGAGCCCTGGGAGGGCAGGGATCTTTGTCCACTGATGTGCCCAAGCACCTGGAACAATGGCTGTCACAGAGCAAATACTTGCTAAAGATTTGCTCTTGATAGAACCCAGTGGCCAGCTTAAACTTAACATGTCGTATGTCCTCATCATCACTGGCATTGCTCAAACGTAAGCACCTGCCGTCGACCATCTTCTCCTATAGTTTTGTCCCCATACTGCTTTGTGCTTTCTCTCCCCTGGTCCAACATCCTGTTCCTCCCTCACTTCCATATACCACAATGCCTTTTTGAACCCCTATTTCATAGTTATTAAGTGTCCCTACATTCTCCGGCCCGCACTGAATCTTCCCCCATTACTTCTTCTCTCTGGCTCTCCCCTCAGGCCTCCCATTCCTCTGGAGCCTTTGGAAATAGAAGTCGCCCTATTCTTTGTTCCTTGGCTATTATTCCTCTTATCCTCTATCCTTCAGCAAAAAGCTCTGCTCATAGGAAGGTGGTGTAGCTGCCATACTGACCTCTAGGCCACACTCCCATTTACTGCAGCATTTGGCTCAGTCTTTCTCTGCACCTCACGGCTCATCATGCTGAGTGCCTGTGATGCCTGTGCGAATGACCCACCCTTGGCTTCCAGTTGATCACCTGGCTTAATCACATTAACCTGCATTCACAGCCACATCACTTCAGCCTCCCACTCATGGCCGAATCCAGACCATGTGATCACTGAGATCTGCTCCACTTCTGACGCCTTCAGTCTAACCATGCTGCTCTCTCACCACAGTCTCCATTACTTCCACTATGCCGGTTTTCTGATCTCATTAAAATCCCCCTTCCCCTAACTCCTCTCGGGATCCTTTTCTCACAGCCAAGCTCCTGACAGTTCTACTTCTTTCTTGACTTAGCTTAGATGCCAAGGTCCATCACTTCCTGTGAGCAGCCACTCTAATCTTTATGGATTTTTGTACTGGTTCATATAGTACAGTTCAAGTAAATATGAAATAGTGCAAAGAAAACCTCCCCAAAATATGTTTAACGTAAGAATGGAAATAATATCTATTCCTTACATTTAAAGAATTGTCAGGATTAAAGTCAAAGCTGCAGTGTCCAGTGAGCTGTAATCAGTTTCTATGCTATTGCCACAGGGTGGTGCCATTTGAGCTGGCAGACAGAAGCAGTGCGTGAGCCTCCTGCTGTTTACATATGGTGGAACTTCTCTAAGTAGTTATGACTAATGTACTGTTGTTTTACAAACTCTGTTATTATAACTGAAAATATTTTCATGTCCTACAACAATATCTCTCAAATGTTCATTAAGCTGTGGTTCTAGAGATAGTGCTGAAAAACACAGCCTCCCGCAAACAGTAACTTTGGAACAGACGTTAGTTGTGATAAAACACTACGAAGAAGGCCAAACATTCACTGTGACACTCTGTGCTGTTAGTTTAGGACCGAGCACTTTAAAACATTTAGAAGGTAATGTAGAAAAAAATTAAAATGGAGTATTACAGTAAAAATATGCTACAATGCTGTATGTGCATGCATCCCTCCAAATCATGACCTTTACATTTTTTTCCTATGGGAAAATTAGTCTTGAAGTATGACTTTTGTATCATGAGATCACTTCAGGAACACATCTGAAACACAAATACAATACAATATTTCCCCTCCGTCTTTCATGAAATGCTCTCTTTCCATAGATATAGCCAAGTATCCAGTAAATAGTGCGGTGGTTAGGAGTGTGCCTTTGGAGCCAGGCTGCCTGGATAGGAATCTCTCAGTTCTATCATTATCTGGTTTTGGGTAAGTTATAAATTACTTACCTTCTTTGTGCATCGATTTCCTCATCTGAAAAGTTAGAATGATAACACTACTTACCTTAAAGGGCTGCTGTGAGGATCAAATGAGTCAGTATGTGAAAGACACTCAGCCCCACACAGCATTGAGTAAACACTACGTGTTAGCTGTTAGCAGCTAAGTGTTAGCTGCTGTTGCAGTTGTCAGCACCACCTCCACCTTCCCATCAACCCTTGAGAACATTTACAAGGATGAACTGCTTCACTGGGTTAACAAAATAAGGAGCTCCTTTACATAAGTCATGCACAGTAGAGGTAGTGGTTACTCATAGGATACGCAGTGGTATGGCGATATCAGTCCTTTTTTTTGCTGTTTACTTTTGGGAACACTGTAAGAATCCTTCATCACAGTTCTGTGTATCAGTATACAGTAGAATAGGGAATATGTAAAGAAGCTTTTCTAGCACAAGTACCGGGTGAGTAGTATGCTCCTGAATAGAGCCTGCTCAGACATTCATATTTACACCAAGTGATCCAGGAGTATGTGTCTCGTTTGCCAGTCTTACCTTCAGCCTGTCTTTGGGCAGTGCAACAACTCCCTGCTTGATGATTTCCAGGACCCGTTCCACTGACAGCTCAGCTCCAGCTTGTCGCAACCTCGAGCTAAAGAAGGTGATCACCTGGAATATAAAGCATTATTTTTTTAAACAAGTAGATGTATGAGATGTACTTTCAGTAGATACCTTTCTCACATGGTAGTCAAACGGTCATAATTGCGCTTCTTAGAGTGAGTGATCTGCCTTTGAATTCACTAGCCCACCTAAAACGTGGTCCTCTCTGTAAAGCGTCTGAAGGCTGAATCAGAGCCAACCCTGAATATTCTGGGCTGATTATCCATTCTGTGAACTAAACAGGCTCCTGAATTCTGCTCTTTCTTGTGTTGCCTCACCTTGCATTTATATTTCATTTAGAGAGCAGCACCCATCAGAAGGAGGGGAGAGAAAGCTAAAGCTTAAAACCTGTTAATATAGAGGCTTAATACTAACTCTCAAAAAAAAAAAAAGCTTAATAAGAATTTGAAGCTAATGGCTAAAATGATGTTTTGGACATTATTTATTAATTTAATTTTCCCACAACACTCTTATCCCTGGTCACCAGGGACAATCAACAGCAAGCTATAATTACTTTGTCCCATGTCACAGCAAAACCTGAACTATGCAGCAAGATGCTACACAGTAGTATTCTGGAAATAATATTGTCCCTTAATATTCTGTCACAAAACATTAAAAGAATGTCATCACATTTTAGCAAATCATTTTAAAATCACAGTGTTAATAAATCAAGACAAATGTAGATCTCTTTTTATTCAAGAGAATAACTTAAGTGTTTATAATCAAACATGCAAAAATATAAAATCTTATGTTTTAAAAAAAGTTGAACATTTCAACGTACATATTTTTATATTAATTTACTAACAATTATTTGCAAACATTTTAATAATTGTTTTAACATTTTTATAAATTTTCATTCAAGATTATTCCCCTAAATATCAATTGTCCAAAAGTACTGTAACTTTTTCCTAACCATTCTAGCAGAAAGTGCACAATATGACATAAAGGCCACTAAAATCCATTTATTCTGGAAAATAAAGAGACCCAGGTGGAGCCCGGGCCCTAATGAGCTTGTGCCTTGAGAGACGGTGGCAATGAGTGAAAACAAAGGCAGCCAATGACTGGTTACACGGCAGCTGAGTGCGGATCAGTAATTTCTTTATCTCAGGCAATCTGCTGGAACAAGCCCCTTTGCAAGTTGCTTATTTTGTCCATGACAGGTTGGTTTTTCAGCATATGCCTATGGGTCTGGTTTTTCCCAAGTTAGAGTTTAAGCTCTTTTGGGGAATTCTGGGATAAATTTTTATTCAGTGTTTAGACACAGCATGTACTCAAATGAATTTTTTTCAAATTGATTTTTAGAATATAGTGATTAAGTCTTGGAAGACAGATACAACATAGAAAACATACTGCAGTTGTTATATTAAAATCTTATTTTAAAAAAATACAACAAAGATGCAAATTAAATGCCTTCCTCTTATATAAATATCTTTGCAGGTCTTTTTTTGTTGTTGTTTTTTTATTTTTTTTTATTTTTTTTTAGCTGAGCCATCCTGCTACCTGTTGGCAGCTCAGCGGCTGCTCAGCTCGGGCTGGACTCGAACCGCTGTTGCTCAGAGCTCAAACTCTTGAGCGAGCTCTTAACCAACTGAGCCACTCGGCCGGCCCCTGCAGGTCTTAAACATTGTTTTCTGAGAAAAAAATTTGGTTAACATATGAAGTGCCATTTTTGTAGGTAAAACATGGTTGAATAGTGGCAATTTCATATGGTTCAGCCTAATACCTATGCATAAAACTCTCTTCTTTGACCAAAAAGTATTTAAAGGGTAGGAACATATTTGTTAAAAACACATTCTAAGAAATGAAAAATGTCAATGAAAAAGTAGATAAATCTTGTAGATGTTTGAGGCTTACAGAACGTCTTTTTCTCTTTCTAATATTTACTAAACACAGACATTTTCACTACTGGATGATTTCTGGCTTATAGCAGTAGATACTGTAGACAAGGAATAGCTCTCAAAGGTGGCTGATAATCAAAAGTAGCCGGGAAGGAAGCTTTATGAAAATACTGTTCCCTAGGCCTGGCCAGAGACTTTCTGCATCAGTCTCTCCAGATGATTTTGACCATCAGCCAGGAACTAGACTATACACACCTACAAGTAAAAAAGTGAGGCTATACTTCCAATATATGTCCTATTTATTTATAAATTTTTGCAATATACTGCAACATTAATGGTTTATGTTATAAAATGTACATAAAATTTAAGATAGAGACAAAATATATTTTAAAGGTTACTCAACTGTAGACATATTTTGTACTCAATTAAAATATTACTATTAAAAATAATCTGGATAATTAGCTATCATATGTCACAAAGACTTCATATTATCATCAGCAAACACAATATCACAGTAAGATGCACTGTGCTTATATAAATCCATAATGCAAACAGCCTGCTTGATAATTTTTATGTATCCATTTCTTGTGAGAGTAGACTGGTTCATCACTGTTTTTACCTTGTAATGTAGCACTTCTCTTCTAGAAAGACAGATGTCAGCTCTGCCATTTTCTTTTTGTCACATATTATTTACACACACACACATACACACACACACACAGTATTTGAGTACTTATATTATTGTGTTGCCTTCAATTTGTGGTTTCTTTGTAGGAATCAGGCAAATCATGCTCATTTTGTGAGGGTTTATTTAGTTAAATCTAGATATTATAACAATGATATTTATGAACACATAAACTACAATAAACCTGAAACGAATGAAAGGTGAGGGTACCCACGCCAAGCCCCCGAACTTGAGGAACTCCTCCCATCTCCTCTCTCAGGATACCTAGAGCACTGTAGCCGACACAGAGACCCTGTTTAGTGGTCCATGCCAATACTAAGAATTAGTAAAAAGAAATCTGTTTATTTTTAATGACTAAATAAAAGCTCTACTATTTTCCTCCCACGCTTCTATGGACTGTCAGTGCCACCTCTGTGTATCAGTTACTTTGGAGGTTGCTGATTGAGATAACAAAATACATATACTCAAAGCTAAGTGGAATACACAGTATTCAAATACTCATAGACACATCAAACCAACATAAGAGAGAGTACTTACATGTCACATCATCAAAGAACAAAGTAATGCAATGACAGTCTAGTTCTGCCAACTCTGTGGCCTACATGGACTTGCCTCTAGGCCACAAGGAGTTCCCATTCTACTGTGAGAGCACAAAGCAGGCATTAGACTCAGTTCCTAAGAAAATCACTTTTTTTCAAACTGTTTCTCATTTATATGTCTTAAAGCTGACATTCTAAGGTTTTTGAATTCAAACTCGCACTGCTTTAGACAATGACAAAACTACCACTTCCAGAAGGGAAATACAATTTGTTTTTTTTTTTTTAAATTGGGGAATTGGGGGATGGGAACAGCGCTGGGGAATTGGGGGAAGGGGAACAGACAAGTTGCTG